TTTCCCCCCCCCCCCCCATAGTTTGCTGAGCGAAGTACCCCCGACTTAATGTATTCACTTTGGATGCACAAGTCTGAACTCTGGCGTTTGTGTTTACATGTGCATACTTTGAGCACTGCGGAAGTATTTGTGCTACGCTTTCAGTTAGCCTTAGCTCCTGTCCAATCACACCTGTGGAGGGAACTGTGTTTTGGAGCGATCTCAGCTACTATCCTTTTCAATTCCGTCGTGCGCCATCTCCTTATCGATTTTGTGGTCACAGAATAGGAGCAAAGATTGTTGATCAACTGCACGTTTTAATGAGATTAATTGATAGACAAATGCCGAGCCTACCTCTGGCATGTGCTATCAGGTCATTGGGTTAGGCACATCCCAGAAGTTTTCCAAGTCCACCTAATCGACTGCTTACCGCTTTCAGATCGGTTCCAGAACCGGGATTCTCAATCGCTTTCTCATCGAACCCCTAGTTCCTCATAGGCCGGTAAGTCAAAGCTTTTGTACACGCACTGAGTTTCAGACGGTGTGTCTCGTTTGTATGTTTAAGTCTACATGCCCTGCCGGCACGGTGGTTTTTGGAACGTTTAAATTTCGTCAGTTAAGTAGTCGGAAATGTCGTCACATTTTCGCCGACAATTTCCCGTGCCTCAATTCGAGGTCAGAACTGACGCATTTGCGTAACTGGTTGAATGTCTCAGGAAGGCGAGTACACATGTCGACTGTAATAACCCATGGGCTTGGAGGAGGTAGTAAATGGGTAATAAAACCACAGGTGACGTCATTGTAGGAAGACCTTGAATAAACAGCCAGTACTTGCAGGTCGGTTGTGTGACAATTTAGTATAGTACTTTGTGGCAAATTTGACTACCTCGACATTACCCTGCCTCTTTTACCAACCAACCCCTTCAAATTCGACTGATCGCCTTAAGTATGTGGACACGTTCTCCCTATTACTGACTTAAGTGATTTCAGGAAAGGCTTTTCATTGGACACGCCCACGACTTTGCGTGTCTGGGTGTACCTGGATGTGATCTGTTGCGCGAGATTACGTCTGCGAAAGTCCAATTGGGTGTGTTCGCTTTGGTGTGAATCACTGGTGCAGTACCTCGCATGTGAATTATCAGATAACGCCAAACGTTCGTGCACTGATGTTTGTGTTGGCGTATCTCTTCAGTCTCAGCGATAACCTTCCGACACAATCCGTAATTCAGTTAGGGATAATATCCCAAAGGATACTCTTGAAGCGATAACACCAAAGACTGGCTGCTAGTGGAGGGTTTGAAAAGTGCTCCAACGAAGTAGGCGCGGTAAAACAAAAAATAAATCAAGCCTGTGACACCGCCTAAGTTGTCGCACCAATGAACGCGCTCCTTTGTGTCTGGTTTTGGATATCACGGACATCACTTTGTACCTAACTCAATCTGTTTAATCCTCTGTAAAACAATTGAAATTTCGATTCTTGCCAAACGTATGAACAAGAACCCCCTGGTTTGTTTTCGAATTGGCCGCGCACTTACCGGTGCTACTTTAACTCACTCTAAATCACCCTTAAGGGGGTCACCGCTTTGAAGTCATCGAGCACCGTCTTATTGGCAAGTGAGTGCCCTTTTTTCAGGAGCAAAAAGATCATATCTACAAATCTTTGAACAAAAGTCGTCTCTGATACGCGTCCACACATAGTTCCATCCCACATAAAGCCGTAATTACCGTGCCGAAAAACCTACCTACCTACGTACCTATTCCTTGTGTGCTTCTGATTGATTATGCAAATTTAGCGTGCCGTGCGATATATTTTTTTTCCGCGTGTGTGTGTGAGTTTTCAAAAATTAAAACTTGGTAGCGTAGCAGTCAATTTCGGTTTCTCGGACGAGGGCTATTGTCCAAAAAAACCAATCTCAAAAACACCTACACCGGATATTAAAAAAATCCTCTTTGGCTACTGCTCCACCTGTGTATTAACATAACCTGGGTGTGGTTTTGCCAACTTGACCCCGAAACAGCATTCATTTGCATCCCCTCAAATGTCGTCTTAGAAAACGCCGTGAATTTCTGTGTGCGTGGGCGATTGTGGGTAACGGTGTGCTAGTTTGATTAACTGCCTCCGCTGTGTATTTACCTCCTACAGGAAGATGCGCATTACCTGTGTCTGTACACCCAACGCGATGGCGATGTTGTACTGTTTCACGCTGCCGGCGGTATCGACATTGGCAACGTGGACGCCAAGGTAAGTGTGCTCTCTCGCGGTCTCCGATTGGTTGATGCTCAAAAATCGACATTCGGAGGCCAGCTGTGATTGGCTAGCCCCTCACCTAACATAGCCCAATTGCACAATAGTCAGCATTCGTGTCCTTGGAGTCTGAATGAAGCAGACGGAGTTCGTGTGTCGAGTTTGGTGCGCGGGTCGGTCGAGTTTCTTTCAAATTGCCATTCTGCCTATCCCGACAAGGTAACGCGCCGAGTAGTACTCATTGGTGGAAGTGAAGGTCAATTCTTGGAAGATGTTTTTTGCTTATGTGTGACTCTGCAGGGGAGTTTGAGGTGCTAACATGTCTTACAATTTTATTGATACTACATACGACCTCCTACACGCACGCAGTCACACTTGCAGAAGGGGACACAACTTCATATGTCGACCTTTGCTTTGGTAGCGAAACGCTTGACCAGGATTGGCCGTTTCCGGAATCTGTGCTGACTTCGAGACGATGATTTTGATTGGACCATTCTTGTAGGTAATAATGAGTGTTATTCGGCGGTCTCAGAGTGGGGAAATTGGGTGGGAAATGGTGTATGTGGAAGTCCATGAATTGCCTGGATATCACAGTCACGCATTCTAAACTGGTTCCAACGGGTTATTTGAATCACTGTCGCGTCCAGCAGGACCAATCAGACAGTACAGCTGCCGAACAGGCTGTTTTTGACGATTGCTGATTGGTCGACCAAATGCATTTGGCTTTTGGTGCGTTTCCAATTTGTCGCTATTTCGATTGGTGTGCAACTATGTGAAATCACGAATAGATTCGACCTGTCACTTCTATAAACACTAAACAATACTCCAAGGTCGTTTCAAGGTCACGTCGGTATCTCCCAAAGTGCTTGTTTCAGGCAATCTGAGCAACACTTAGTTCCACGGTTCTTGGTTCTGGTGGAACGTCAGTTCTAGGGATCTGGCGCCTCGTCTTCTACGAATGTGACCGTCTAGATGTTCGTTGTGTTCAGAGAACAATGATAATCCACAACTGAGGTCACGCGGGATAACCTTGAAATCTGTGTTTACTTGACACCCGTAACCAGCCACACTGCTGCATATGTCTACGGTCAAGTGTCACACGTGTGGAATGTGAACTTTAAGTTGTACCGTGGGGATGATATTCATTCCCCTATTGACTTGTCCTGATCAGAGGGCAGACCGTTCGACTAGAATTGGCAAGTTTTAGAATCTGCGGTAACCTTGAGACGGTGATTTTGATTGGTCCATTCTTGTTTGTTTTAATGAAGAGCTTCCTCGAGCTTGTGGTGTACTTTTGAGGAAAACTAGCCTCCTAGACACGCGATTTTCAAGTCGGTGTTTGTTAGCAAGTCGAAATTCATCAAAACGAAGGCTGTTTGCGAGTCCATAGCGTAGCTGCTGCTTCTCGCTCTGGTTACTTGTTTTAAATCATTGTTTCCGCGTTGTATTGGAGCTGCTTGTCCCTGTCGGTAATTAATTAAAATAATTCGAAACCTCACAATTCACCCATTCTCCGTTTTTGATTTCTTTTGAACGCGCGTCATCAAGACGTAGGTCCACCGTCTAATCAGGTAGACAACTTCGTCTCGTCTGCAACAATTTGTGCTTCGACAGCCAGACCTTCCACAGATCTCCTCTTTCTTCTCTGTAGGCAAAACGCTTCCTCATTACCACAGAAATGCTCGCCAGCGCCACGTCACCCAACGAGCCCAGCGTGACTCCGGAGCAGCTGATCGACAGTGGCCTACTCGACGACCTACTGGACCCAGCTAGGAAACAGTACGTCGAATCAGCTGATCATTGATTCTGGTAGTCAGTTTGTTCCACCTTGTCACATTTGGCCTGCGCTGGCGGTAGTGCAGAGTCTGTAATTAGTTGAGTCCTTGTGGTCGTTAGTGTGTAGCAGTGTGCCTGGTGGTGGGAATAGAAGAAGCGGCCTCAACATCTCTATCGATATGGTTTCCCAGTTGGGGAACGACCTAGGGACCTTCACCAACAAGAAAGCCTGTTGCCTGGACTTGATGGTGTGGTGATGCTGGAGCAAGCATTGTCAGTGCGAAAGGTGAACGAGTTGAACAGCAGACATCACTGTAATTCGACGCTCATTTGTTCTCGGGTCGACGCTCACATACCGTGGTCGGCTGGTTCAATTACTGTCTTGGGGAAGTCTGCATCGAAGTGGGATCTATATTTGCAGGAGACGGAAGCTGAAGCCCCAATACAGTTTTGTCGGAACCACGTCTCACGCAGTGATGGTGGATGGTTTTTTTGGCTGTGTCGTGGCTCGGCGTTAGTGTTTACGCTAATTAAAAACCGAGACGACATGTAGAATACCGAAGGTGGCAGAGGTACGACCGTTTACTAGATAACTCAACCATTGTGGGAGCAGATGATTTTGCCGTGGGTAGAGGGTCAGTTTGGTGGTGACTGCTAAAACCAGGTTCTAGTACGTGGACTTCAGCACGATTCACACCACACAACCAAGGTGCTTCAATGTGTAACATGGCGTAGAAACACACCCAAATGAACTGAGCCCTAAATCTTGATTAATACTCACAGAATTCCACAGTGTTTTCATCGAAGGTACTTGAATCACCAGTGGTTCTTTGGCCGGTGTGTGAATTTTACCCTCACAGGACCACGCCCATTGCAAAACATCTGTGCGAGTCAGGGCTTGCACAAACCCGCCGGTTCTCGGCCGTCATGTGTTTTACTCAGATGCAGTTGACCTTGAGACCATGGCAACCGCGTTAGGCCTTGACAGTATGAAGCCAACTTGTGCAAAATGTTGTTTCATGTTTACAGGTGCGTGGCAGAATTCATCGCCGAGCTGCATCGCACCTTTGCCCATCTCCACATCAACTACCTCGAAATCAACCCGCTTGTTGTTTGTACCGACTCTCAAGGCCATCTGCAAACCTACGTACTCGACACCGCTGCGAAAATCGACCAATGCGCTGAGTACTTATTTTCCGGGTCTCGTGATTGGTCGCCCGACGGCGAACCAATGCTGTTTCCTCCGCCTTTCGGCCACGTTCAGACGCCTGAGGTTAAACCGCTCGCTCAAAACACGCATAAACTAAGTTTTAAAAAAAAAAATGAAATTAGCATTTCTTTCAGTCGATAATTTACTCCGATTTGTCGATAAGTTTACTGACCAAGTATTTTTTGAATTTCACATATTCGCAATTAGCGGCAACTTGTTCACTTTTTAAAGTGCGCGTCAAGGGCACTAGTTCATTTAAACAAGAAGGCCAGGATTCGTTCCGCGTGTTGTAGGAGCAGTTTGTTGCCCAGCTGGACGCTCGCACCGGCGCCTCGATGAAGCTGAGTGTGTTGAACCCTCGAGGTCGTGTGTGGACGATGAGTGCGGGCGGCGGTGCCTCGGTTATCTACGCCGACACCATCTGCCAATTGGCTCCGGCCAAGGAGTTGGCCAACTACGGCGAGTACTCGGGCGCCCCGTCTGAGGCGCAGACATACGAATACGCCCGCACCATCTTAAAGTTGATGACCACCGGAGAACCTGATCCTGAAGGTGGGTTGTGTCGGAAATAGCGCAACGTGTGGCCTGATTTTGCTACCACGAACTGCGCTTATACTGGCTGATGTGTGTATGTGTGCAATAATCGGTGCAGTGTGTGGTTGGTGGAAATTTAAACCAACCGGTCCTCGTGCGCAGCTGTAAAACAAACATTTGGGCGCCATTGACCAGCGATCCCGCCGAAACGGCTGTTTTGAAGGGCAGATTTAGTGGAATGTCGTCGATTTAATCGGCTCTCGAGGTGAACATGCAGTCGCCAACACACCGCTTCATCCGGACTTTGTTTGAATGCGTAGTTCATCCGACGTTAACTTACGCTTCACTTAAACACTCAAGATCACGAATTTCGTTGCGTGACGACCAATCCCTGTTGCACGTGTCCGCTAACTTCCCCCCCCCACCCCCACCGCCTTGCAAATGAGACTTCCTTTCGTAGCACGCGATGCCCCCTCCCCTACGTCGTGTAAAGACCAATCACATCATTCTTGCGGGTACAAATCTGCTCGTTCGTGGGCATTTTTTCGTGTAGGAATTCGTGTATGATGTGTTTTCACTCTGGTTGCAACATCCCACCACTCCTATTCAAATTGACCAATATTGATTAAATTTCGCGCGTTTTAGTTAGTTGATTAAAACACAACGCGATGCTTCTCATTGGCTCACTTTTCGGGGATTTGGCTCCCAAGTTCCGAAAAGGTTTGTTGATGTTAATTCAGAGGTCAATCATCATCGCGATTCAAGTGGTAATGCTTACGGTGTCTCCGTACTTGATGTTTGTGTTCTCTGTGCTTTTAAAGTGAAATTTTCGTATAGTGGTCTTATTTTATTGGACGTTTGTTAAAAGGACTCCAACACAAAGAGCAGGGGAAAGCCTTCCACGATTTCGTGCATATATCTCTAGCAGTAGTCTATTTACACGACATTTTAATTCAGAGGTCAATCATCCTTGCGATTCAAGTGGTAATACTAACGGTGTTTCAGTACTCAATGTTTGTGTGTTATCTGTGCTTTTAAAAGGAAATTTTCGTATAGTCGTATATTATTTGACTTTTGCAAACGGATCCGAACACGGAGTGCAGCGGAGAGACCCTGCACGATGTCGTGCATATATCCCCAACAGCTGTCTATTTGCACGACATTGAATGCTCTTTTGTGTTCCTTCAAGGCAAAGTCCTCCTCATTGGCGGAGGCGTGGCCAATTTCACCAATGTGGCGGCGACCTTCCGTGGAATTATTCGCGCCATTCGCGAGTACCAGGACGCGCTGCGGACTCACAAGGTGCGCATTTACGTGCGTCGCGGTGGCCCCAACTACCAAGAGGGTCTGCGTGATATGCAGGCCTTGGGTAAGCTCGCGTTTCCGCCTAGACACCCATCTATCGATCGGCACTCCTCCCACTCCCCACTGCTCATCGATCTCTGGTATGTGTGTTGGTTTCAGGGCGGTCGGTGGACCTGCCGATTCACGTGTTCGGACCTGAGACCCACATGACTGCCATCGTCTCCATGGCTCTCGGACTGATTGAGACGCCCTCGGCTGTTGCATTCACAATTCCGTCGTTTTTTGAACAGCAAATCAAGTCGCCTTTTGCGTCAGAAGCTCCGGATTTCCATGGTGACGGTGGAACCGTGGTACGTTCAACTCGCGTGTGTGCGTGTGTTCTAAAAAATTGACTGAAAATTGCGCAATTGCCAAATTACTCAGGGACCTTTCTTACACTAGGGCGGTCAGAAGCGTCGAAGGAAGGTTGGTTCTTCGGTAATTCTATGCGTCATGCTAATTTCACGCTTTACCTTCTGTCGCCTGCATGTACCCTGCTCGCTTCAATCGGTTCATCTGAAAAGTAATCCCTACTGATGATATGTGAGTAGCAAGTGTAATTGCGTTTTAGGAGTGCCGTAGGGAAGCAGGAGTGCCACAGGCAATTTTCACCAAGGCCACCAGATCGATAGTGTGGGGCCTCCAACTCAAGGCCATCCAGTCGATGCTGGATTTCGATTACGCGTGCGGCCGCGCCGATCCCAGTGTCGCCGCGATCATTTACCCCTTCACGTGAGTCCGTGGTTCGTGACCTTGAGGTGGTTCTCATTAACACCAGAAAGTGGGACAATTTTTCGCGCTTTGTAGGGAAGATCGCACCGAAAAGTTTTACTGGGGCGCCGACGATCTCTTCATCCCGGTCTACAAGCACATGCAGACGGCGTTCGACGCCCACCCTGACGCGACAATTCTCGTCAACTTCGCCTCCTACCGCGCCGCCTACGAGGTGACCTTGGAGGCTCTTGCGAGTAAACGCGACCCCGAGGACGGAATGGGCCCCCCGCGATGCCGCGTCGACTGTGTCGCCATCATCGCCGAGGGCATTCCCGAGCGCTTCTCGCGGGATCTCATTTTCCGCGCCAAAAAACTCGACGTTCTGCTCATTGGTCCAGCAACTGTGAGTCCGCCGATGTAGTGCTTAGTTAACCCAATCTGTTTGGGAGGTGAAATTTGTGCATTGGTTCTTGTTGTTCGCCTTGCGTTTGTGTATCGAAAATCAATAATGTGCCCTAAATGTCGTTTCTTAAATTTTGTTCCTAAATATCTTCTTTAGGTTGGAGCCATTAAACCGGGATGCTTCAAGATCGGCAATACTGCTGGAATGATGGATAACGTTCTCTCCTCGAAGCTACATCGACCTGGAAGGTGAGTAATGCGTGCAACTCATATTTATCAGTAGTCAAAATAAAAATGTCCGAAATTGGCATTTATTGATTTCAGTGTTGCCTACGTGTCTCGGTCGGGTGGAATGTCGAACGAGCTCAACAACATCATCAGCATGAATTCGGACGGGGTTGCGGAGGGGGTTGCAATCGGCGGTGATCGGTTCCCTGGCAGCACCTTTATCGATCACATCCTGCGCTACGAGGCGGACCCCGACGTCGCGATGATAGTGCTTCTCGGTGAGGTGGGCGGCCTGGAGGAGTACGCCGTGGTGGAGGCGCTGGAGTCCGGCAAGGTGAAGAAGCCCCTAGTGGCGTGGTGCATCGGCACGTGCGCCCAGGTCCTCGCTTCCACCGCTGGAAGCGGCGGCAGCGACACCACCAACCTCGAGGAGGTCCAGTTCGGCCACGCCGGCGCCTGCGCTCGCTCCGAGCAAGAGACCGCGGTTTCCAAGAACGCGCGTCTCGCCAAGGCCGGCGCCCACGTGCCCCCTAGCTTCAACGAACTTGGCAGTCTCATTCGGTGAGTCCGGATTCCACGTGGTCATGTGGTTTCAATCACCGCGCCTAAATGATGCCTCTCCGTTTTTTTGTTCCAACTCAAAGCACCGTCTACTCGAGGCTTGTTGAGTCTGGAAAACTGACGCCGAAACCGAATTACCCACCTCGGCCTGTTCCAATGGACTACGCATGGGCAAAGGTAGAGTGTGTGTTTGGATTTCCCTCTCTCTCTTTCTCTATTTCGATAAATCGCCAACTTTTTCGCTGTTTTTGACGCTTTTCCATGTCAAGTGTTGTGAGTTATAGTCGTGGATCTTAGGAACATTCTCCTAATTGGTGAATATCACGTCCTTCAAAAGACGGTGGAAGTGTTATGGTAGATGTTTATCAAATACGCTAACTCCCTTTTCAGCCTATCACTTAATGGTGTGGAAGCGACAAGTTGAGAGTCAGATGGCCGTTTTTAGGTAAAATCGACGATTTGCTGTATTTGACGTGGCAGTACCAATCCTGTGAAGGTGTTCGGAGGAATGAGCCAATCAAATGGGAGCGGTCAATTTGAACCTAAAAGTGGTGTACATGTGGACAGAATACGAATTGTAGACGTAAACGTATTAACTTCACGACGTTTATACTCCTCTATCATCGACCCTTCGGCATAAACTTCAAATAGCTGAAGGGATTTCAAAATTCCAGTTACTCTATTGGCTGATTTACTGTAATCACGCCCACTTAACATATCGTCTTGTTGGTTTGGTCCCCTTTAGGAGCTGGGTTTCGTTCGCAAACCCGCAGCCTTCACATCCACCGTCTGCGATGATCGTGGACAAGAGGTGCTCTACGCCGGAGTGCCTGTTAGCAAGGTTCTGCAGGAAGACCTTGGCATCGGCGGTGTTTTAAGCCTTCTTTGGTTCAAGCGAAAGTGAGTTGGCCCCATCTGGGGTTCAATAGAATTCCCCCATTTGCCATACCTTTCAAAATGTCCCCTAACGAGTCGCTAAGTGGCAGTCGCACTCGACATTGACTTGATGTGGACTTATATCCCTGCCAGATTGCCGAAGTACGCGACGGACTACTTGGAGCGTTGCATAATCGTCGCGGCCGATCACGGTCCAGCAGTGTCGGGTGCGCACAACACCATAGTCGCGGCACGCGCCGACAAAGACCTCGTCTCCTCTCTAGTCTCCGGTCTCCTGACTGTCGTGAGTTCCTATTCCATCGATGGGCCTGCATTGAGGTCAGTAACAGTTGAATAGTCGGGTGTCACTTGTACGGTCCCCTTGTCTCCAGGGCAATCGATTCGGTGGGGCCCTGGACGCCGCGGCGCGCCAGTTCTCCGAGGCCTTCGACCGACACCTCTCGCCGGCCGACTTTGTCTCGTCGTCGCGTGCCGCCGGACGTCTGATCATGGGCATCGGACACCGCGTCAAGTCAGTCAATAACCCCGACACACGCGTCAGCTTGTTAGCGGACTTCGCGCGGAAACACTTTCCCAAGACACCACTGATGGACTACGCCTTCGAGGTGGAGAAGCACACCACGGCGAAAGTGAGTTAGCGACGAGGAAGGTTCGCAGGAGTAGCCTGAGTGTGGATAGTGCAGAACCTACAAGAAATTGTTTCTTTCTGGTGGTTAAGTTAAACGGGCTACGCATGTCACACTCTTCTCCTTATGCGAGACACCTTAGAGACGATCGTAGTTCTACATGTCCAGACACACCTACTACAATTCCAGGGTTGTAATGTGCTAGCGCAGATTCATGCGCATCATTTCAACATGATAAATGAATCGCAACCTACTCGATTATAACGTGGCATGAATTTCCGTATTTGGCGTGGCAGCATCAATACAGTCAGGGGGTTTGGAGGAATGAGCCAATCAAATGAGAGCGGTCAATTTGAAATTGAAAGCGGTGTACATGTGGAGAGAATACGAATAGCAGACATAAAGATTGTAACTTCACGACCTTAATACTCCTCTATCATCGACCCTTCGGCATAAACTTCAAATAATTGAATGGATTTCAAAATTCCAGTTACTCTATTGGCTAAGTTTCGTTCGCAAACCCGCAGCCTTCACATCTAGCTTCTGCGACGATCGTGGACAAGAAGAGCTCTATCTGAAAGTAACACCTACCACCTTGCTCTGATTGCGACATTGTCAAAGTGCCATTCCACCCACGGGAACCCAAAAACACACAAATTTTAAGGGCATATAAATTCAAGGAATTTGTGTGATCCAACATGCCTGTTTTTTAACCAACGTCCTGAGCAATGACGTGCGACTAAGCCATGTGACTTCACCGAAACACTGAAGCCCTCGGTATAGTTAGCTACGAGGTGATAACATGACGCAAACACCAACTGCCAATCAGCGTCTCGTTTCAGAACCTGGATGTCTTGCTTAGGTGTAACCATCGAAATCGATAATGGAATCGTCATGTAGACCGCATGTGCACATTCTGGGGTGAAGGACCTGTGATTTCCATAGTGGATGACCTCGTTTCGCACGAAACCCTGATCACAGAGTAAACGGATTTGAAATGGCGCTTT